ACTGACGTTTTGGTCTATTCAAAGTCGCAATTTATACAATATTAATAGTACGATTGAATTCGAATATACAACGATCTGAAATTTACGTAATTTGAACCAGAATCGACCCGATGAATAGGCTGATTACAAGGGAAACACACCCCTCATGGGTTAGAGTAAGATGTGTTGCACCAAATGAATGTTGATTGTCGTTGATATCTGCAGCGAAAAGGATTAGTGTAGTTCCATAGCGCAAGTTTGCTCAACACACCTGTCCATTTTATCTTTGTCAAAGACAAAAAGACCAAAAATATATTAACACTTATTGATATTTTTGTTATTTGCATAGCCCTGATAGATGGATGTGTTGAAATTGCGCAGTTGAACTATACATGTTGGTCCCTTTCCTGTAACTCCTCTCGCGCTTCTGTGACTCACCCTCTCAATCTTTCCTAATAATCTGGAGCAGAAACTTATGAGCATTTATAATATTGTAGTCTTGAAATACTATCCGCATCTAGGAGCAGAATCAGATCCAATCAACTAAATAGTAAAAGACTCGTCGCTCAGGTGCATCAGACACACAGAGCGAGAAAAAATATCCTGTTAGAGTGGAAACGACGATTTCTGTTGAAAAGCTTGAAGCGTCATGTTGTTCTTGGGGACAGTTGGGTGAATCTTTTCTTGTCGTGAGCAGAAAAGTCCCTGCAAAGGGGTAGCATTCACAAGATCGTCTTTGGGCTGGAGGTGGGAAGTTTAGCGGGCATGTGAACCAATTATCAATCCATTGACCAGGAACTAAGACTGTTCGTAAATGATATGTGACCGGTATACTTGAGATCAGAAGAATCGACCCCACGGCCCCGCGTTTGCCCAAGCATAGCCATTGCAACATGTGATTTTTACGAAGAGTCTGTTTGGATACATGCACTTGTATAATTGCAACTGCTAGGGTTCTAACTCAAAGCCTTCTGACAAGTTGAATATAACCTGCTTGTGGCGAGTTTTGAGACGACTGATATTTGACGCAACCAGGATGAACCATGGATATCACCAGCGAAAGGTCCCCCGAATGTCCTGCCTCTTCAGGTA